CAGCACTTTGAGAGGCTGAGGCGGGTGGATCACCTGAGGTCAGGAGTTTGGGACCGGCCTGGCCAACATGGTGAAACCCCATCTCTACTAAAAATACAAAAATTAGCTGTGATTGGTGGCAGGTGCCTGTAATTCCAACAATTTGAGAGGCTGAGGCAGGAGAATCGCATGAACCTGCAGGTGTAGACTGCAGTGAGCCAAGATCATGTCATTGCACTCCAGCCTGAGCAACAAGAGCAAAACTGTCTCAAAAAAAAAAAAAAAAAAAAAAAGACTCTGCCCAAAAGGGACTTCCTCCTGACTTCTCCATACAGAAATGACCTCCTTTTCCTTGTTGTCCACTGTGTGCCATATTCAGACCTCCATCATGGTACTTACAATTCATGTCATATGTAAAAGTTAAAATCAAAGTCTATCTCCCTCCATTAGCCTTAGATTCCCTGAGGACAGGAATTCTTTTTTTTTTTTTTTTTTTTTTTTTTTTTTTTGAGACAGTCTCGCTCTGTCACCCAGGCTGGAGTGCAACAGCGTGATCTTGGCTCACTGCAATCTACACCTCCCAGATTCTTTAGATTCTCCTGACTCAGCCTCCCAAGTAGCTGGAATTACAAGCACCCACCACCACACCTAGCTAATTTTTTTTTTTAGTAGAGACGAGGTTTCACCATATTGGCCAGGCTGATCTGGAACTCCTGACTTCAGGTAATCCACCTGCCTTGGCCCCTCAAAGTGCTGAGATTACAGGCATGAGCCACCGCGCCTGGCCAAGGACAGGAATTCTTATTCACTCTTGAATTTTCAGAGCCTTGTTACTGGATCAAAATTTCCAGGAGTGGGGTTTGGGCAAGGTGTTTTGAAAATGTTCCTCAGGTGATTCTAACTATCCTATGTTAACTGCAATAAAACCTAAACTCTTTCAGATCAGGAATCATCACTACCCAGCACAATGCTTTACTAAACTGAACTGAAAAGAGAACTCTGGAAGATGAGGGAGAAGCGCTTGGAGCCAGAGATTTGGAGGCATCAGGATGTAAGATGGTGTCAGTGCAGTGACAGGAGGCAGGAAGCCGGGGAGGACTTCTTTATGACCCTTTCACTGTAACAGCAGAAGACTCAATTACATGTGTTTTCCTTAAGAATTGAGTTTCTTAAGGGAGGGGAACCCTCCATCCTACTCATCTCTGCAAGCCTGGCCCTAAACACAGTGCATGGTACACATTAGGAACTCAGTAACCTTTTATCGATCTTGTATTGAGCTGTATCAGTGCTCCTGGTAATAGAAGGGAGTGAAAAACTTCAGAGACACAAAGGAGGAAGTGACTAACTTGGCCTAAAAAGGCTGGATAAACTGATTTTCAGAGGGAAAATTACGCTCAGTTTTCAAAGAGAAGTTCACTTGGCAGAGCCGTGTTCACTTCCAAGCAGAAGGAACAGCAGGAACGCTAAGTACTGAGATGAAAGAGCACAGTCACAATCTTCCCACGTGGCCAGGAGTCAGGTGCATAAAAGCTTTACAAATGAGATTTAGGTCAGGGCCAGACTGTGAGAGCCCACAGACGCCCACTTAAAGATTTAAGCCTAACTGTGGTAGTCAAAAAGGAGTTTTAAATGTAACATGAAATGACCATTTACCTTTACTTTGTAGGAAGTACTAGCGGGGCCGCGCGCGGTGGCTCGCGCCTGTAATCCCAGTGGAGGCTGAGGCAAGTGGATCACTTGAGGTCTGGGGTTGGAGACCTCTATTAAAAATACAAAAATTAGCCAGGTGTGCTGGCGGGCACGTGTAATCCCAGCTACTGGGGACGCTGAGGCAGGAGAATCGCTTGAACCCAGGAGGTGGAGGCTGCAGTGAGCCGAGATCGCGCCACTGCACTCCAGCCTGGGCGACCGAGCGAAGCGCCATCTCAAAAAAAAAAATTAAAAATTAAAAAATTGAAAGTACTAGTGGAAGTATTTAAGGAAAATAATTGAGAGGCTCAAGGGGAAAAGCCTCATTAGCCGCTGAGGTCCATCTGACAAACGCAAACAGAAGGAAAGGGAGAAATCCATTCCATAAAAACACACGATTTAAGTCAAGCCGCCTGTGAATCCCTACCCCTGCTGACCGCCAGGACACACAGCAGTTTTCAACTGGATGGGGAGCTCCGAAGTGGAACTCCCCCAGGCACCTTCTGTGCTACTTCAGGAGTTCCAAGCCCCTATCTCATCACAACCCTACCCCGCGGGAGGCCCAAGCAGGGCAATGCGAAGGGAGCCTCCGGCACGACCTGGGATCGCGGCACCGCAGAAGGCGCAGAGTACAGAACTGCGCGTGCGCGCCTCAAGTACGCGCCCCGCCCCCTGCCTCTAAACCGGGTGGCGGGAAAAGGGACTCGGCAGCTCCCGAGAATGCCCCCGCAGCTTCGAAAGGATCCCAGTGTCCGCTTAGCGCCCTCTCGCCACACACTCACCCACCCGCTCCCTGCGGGTCCTCAGAAGCCCCGAGGAGCCAGCGGCCTTCAGGCGCAGTGCCGCAGGTTTTCCTGCCACCAGGCTCGGCTGGGCCGCTCCCCGCCAGCGCGTAGAGCGAGGCGGGGCCAGCCGGGCTGGTCCACGTGACTCCGAGCGGAACGGGGGCGGAGATTGGCGATGAAGGAAGGTAAAGGGAAGCGAGTGCGGGGATTGTTTAATGTGAGGTAGATCCCCTACAAGGGATCTAAAAATCACAGCGCTATGAATTTTCTGTTGAATTACAGTAGAATGAAAGTCCAATTAGAGATGAATTTACAAACATTCTTCCCCTTCTTCTAGTCAAGCGGACTATTCCAAGTCTTAAATAGTTAGTTAGAAAAGTTAGGTTTTATTTGGGAGGAAGTGAAGAGCTGAAGTATAGGGAGGAATAGTCTTCTGGGGTGGGGGATGTCTGCTGTATTATAGGTAGACCTTTAAAGCTTTCAAAGTATGCAAGAGGCTCATAAATGGAAGAGAGCAACCATAAATATTCATTGATCAGTTGAAGGTCTCCTCTGGCCTCTGCTGATATGATCTTGCCCACAAGAGAAGATAATAGGGCTCTGCTCTGGACCCCTGTAATCCCAGCTACTGGGGAGGCAGAGGCAGGAAGATCGCTTTAGCCCAGGATTTCTAGGCTGTAGTGTGCCATGGTTGTGCCTGTGAATAGCCATTGCACTCCAACCTGGGCAACATAGTAAGAACCCCCCTCTCTAAAAAGAAGAAGATAGGCTCAAGTGAATAATAGTCTCCTGAATTGTTATGCATTTGAATAGAATGAATCAATTTCTGGGGTATGAGGGAGTTAGAAGATATTTGCTTCAAGATGAAAGGACACATGACAGAGAAATGAAAATACACAGACACAAAACAAAACAAAACACGGAACTAGTGATAAAAGCAGAAAGATGCCATTTGAAGAGTGTTTTGATTAGCTCTAAATAATTTAAAAGAGAGTCAAAGCCTCTCCCTTTATGCCCCCTACTACCACCCCCTGCATTTATTTGCTCCAGGAGTCAGATTTCCTGTGTTGGCCTTAGGGAACAATTGTGGGGCTTAAATACCATCTGCCAGGTGGCTACACCAGTGGATGTCAGGCTGACCAGATAAGCTGCTTAATTTTTCTAGATTCTAGGCTTGCCCAAGCCTAATTAGGTTAGAAGCTCCTTGGCCCAAGACCTCCAAAGAGATCCATTATGCCAGAATGAACACAACCAGCCAGTGGATGTAGACAGGTTTACATGCCTTTACAAAATAGCTCAAATCCTAGTGTTCACTTTTCTCAGAGCTACTTCCCCACCCAAGTCCCTGGGGCAAGCATCCCTGAGATAAGCAGGCTATATGTTCACATTAACTTCCCCCCAGTTTTTTGGAACACTTGCATCCTGATCCGGGGCTAATACCTCCATTTTCACCACTCACCTCCCTTGAGTCCCTTCTCCTAAACCTTGGAATGCCTTGTCTCCTCCACTTCTCTCCATCTGCCTCGTGTGTGGAGTAACTTTCTGCTCTCTGTTCCCTCAGAAATCAAGAGCCACACACTTGACTGGCAGCAGGGTAAAGGCCAGAAACAGAAGGTGTCGGTTACCCTGTACTCACCATACTGGGTCGAGGAAGGGAGGTATAGGATGGCACCTCTTTTTGCTTCCTTAGCTCTCATGCCCCAGCCACACTCACTCACATTCATATGCACAATCAGCACACACGGCGAAGGAAGGTGGGACGGGGAGGAAGGGAGGTTTGCACCAACCAGCTCATGAATGCAACTTGAAAGATTTCACACAGCAAAAGGAAAAAGAAAAAAAAAACCACATACATAAGTTAAAAAATAAAGAAGTACATGCCCCTCCCCACAGTCTCTTTCTTCATCTAGGGGCCGGCTCAACCCTCCACGTAAACTCAGAAGATTTCTACTCCCTCTATTCAGCTGGAGCTTCTACAGGGCCTGGGTCTTCAGTTCAACAGGTTCCCCTGTGACCTCTGGTTGTCCATTGGAGTCACTGGGTTTGGCACCCTTGAGGACAGACAGTCTCTCAGAAATACTCTTGAGCCGAGGGAAGAGGAGAAAGTCGTAGAGGAGGCTGCCCAGACCCCCTCCAATGATTGGGCCCACCCAGTACACCTGTAGGAAGAGAAAAGGAATACTCAGGTTTGGGAGTGGGCAGAGCAGCAAGGCTGCTCCTTTCTCAACCCCCTTAGCAGAAAACAAGACATTGTACACTTGATATATACGAGAAACACCATTTCTTTTCTGATTCATCAAATGGCTCCTTTTTCCTACACCTTTGCACTAGTTTGTATGTTGCTTTCAAAAATTTGTTATACATTTTGGTAAAATACATATAACATTTGCCATATTAAATATTTTTGGCCAGGCACAGTGGCTCACGCCTGTAATCCCAGCACTTTGAGGAGGCCAAGGCAGGTGGACCACAAGGTTAGGCATTCGAGACCAGCCTGGCCAACATAGCAAAACACCGTCTCTACTAAAAATACAAAAATTGACGGGACTGGGCTGAGTGTTGGCTACGTGGGGCTACCGGATCTGTCGGAAATGGCAGAGGTGGAGGAGACACTGAAGCAACTTCAGAGCCAGACGGGAGTGCAGGGAATCATCGTGGTGAACACAGAAGGCAATCCCATCAAGAGCACCATGGACAACCCCACCACCACCCAGTATGCCAGCCTCATGCACAGCTTCATCCTGAAGGCACGGAGCACCGTGTGTGAAATTGACCCCCAGAACGATCTCGCCTTCCTTCGAATTCGCTCCAAGAAAAATGAGATTATGTTGCACCAGATAAAGACTATTTCCTGATTGTGATTCAGAATCCAACCGAATAGGCCACTCTCCTGACTCCCTGTGTCATTCCTTAATTTAATGCCCCCCAAGAATGTTAATGTCGAGTATGTTAGCAGACTGGCACGTGACAGTCACTTTGGAGCCCACTCAGACCAATCCAGTGACCATGTGTGGGCTGGTGGCTCTTTCTCCCCAACCAAAGGAACCCCTGTGCCGTGCGAGCCTTCTCCAGAGCTCCGGGAGGGCCCTCTCGCCTCACCTCCAGGTTTTGGAGCAAGAACTTGGGAGAAGCCCACACCCAGCTTCCTTCTGACCTTCAGTTCACTTTGTTGCCCTTGGAGAAGGCTGTTTTTCTTTAACTAAAAATAACTAAAATGCTTAAAAAAAAAATACAAAAATTAGCCAGGCCTGGTGGTGGGTGCCTGTAATCCCAGCTGCTTGGTAGGCTGAGGCAGGAGAATAACTCGAACTTGGGAGGTGAAGGTTATAGTGAGCCGAGATGGCGCACCACTGCACTCCAGCTTGGGTCACAGACCGAGACTCTGTCTCAAAAAAATATATATGTATGTGTATATATATATATATATATATATATATATTTAAATATATGTATGTATATATATATATATTTTTTTTTTGAGATGGAGTTTCGCTCTTGTACAGTTTAGTAGTGTTAAATATATTCACATTGTTGTGCAACCCATATCTAGAAATTTTTCATCTTGCAAAACTTTAACTCTATACCCATTAAACAACTGCCTATATCACCTCACCTCTATCAGCTTCTGGTAACTATCCTTCTACTTTGTGTCTATGAATTTGAGTACTCTAAATACCTCCTGTAAACATACAGTATTTGTCTTTTTGTGACTGGCTTATTCACTTATCATAATGTACTCAAGATTTATCCATGTTGTAATATGCATCAGGATTTCCCTCCTTTTATGGCTAATATTCCATTTATGCATATCCACATTTTGTTTACACACTCATCCACGGAGGAACGCTTGGGTTGCTTCTACCTCTTGGCATTGCAAATAATGTTGTTATAAAAATGAGTGTACAGCTTTGACATTTTTTTGAATTATTTCCATATGTTTGGCTTGCATATTTTCAAAACAACATAAACCCAACCAATATTTATTGAGTACTTACTTTATACCAGATTCTGTGCTAAATGTTTCTCACATATAACTTTCACGCATTTCTTGTAACGTCCCATGTTATAGTAAAAGAAACTGAAGCACAGAGTGATTGAGTTATTTGCCCATGGTCACACACAAAGCCAGTGATGTGTTAAAACGGAGGCCCATTTGTGCTCACAACACATCCTGATCTCTGAGAGCAGAATTTATTGTGCTCATATTTAGTTGTCTCTCTTCATACCCCTTAGTTCAGGCACCCAGTGAATACTCAGTGCATACTCCCTGACTAAGCAGAGAAGGAACAATATGAGCAAGAGCCTCTCTTTCTAGTAAAATCGTGAATCCTGCTCACACAGACATGCCAAACTCTCTGACAGCCCCCTTAGCTGAGTGCTGGTAGAACAGCCAAAACACACACAAGGAAAGCAGGAACCCAGCCTGGAACCTGCAAACCACAGCCATCCAGAAGGGTTCCAGGATCTTGTCCCTCTCCCTTCACTCACCCAATGGTTGGTGAAGTTCCCAGTGAGGATGGCAGGAGCAAAGGAGCGGGCAGGATTCATGCCTGCACCAGTATAATACATCTGCAAAAGAGACAGTTGTAACTGAGACACCCCCCTGCTCCACCCCAGCTTCTCTTGCCACAAGCCACATTGCCCCTGAGAGCTGGCATCTGGTCTCCAGCCAGCAGCAAGTGGAGAAGGACAGCCTGCATGACTCTCCGGTGGTTCCCACAATGGGGTGAGAGCAACTGATGCCCCATCTGGGAACAGCCTATGGATCCATAGGCAAAGCCCATGTCTAGCCAGGATGCATGCATTTGTACCTTGGGGTCAAGAAGGACTAGATATAGCAGTCACAAGAGTGGGATAGGGTGGAGCTGATGCCTCTGTGCCAGTACAGAGTGCGACGGGTAACATTCATGTTTGACAGTGAAGTTGGCAGGAAGAACCCTTAAAGGTTAGGAAAGGTTTAGGGGCCCCGGAATCCTTGAATGAGAAGTTTCTCTCCTTCCTGCTTACCCCAAAGAGGTGCCCCAAGGCAAGGGAGAAACCAACGGCCAGGGCCACAGAGCCCAGTCGGCCATTCCGCCTCTCGTCGTATGTGGCAAAGATGCAGAGCACAAACTGGAGCGTCAGGAAGATCTCCACTGTGGTGGCCTGGCCCACGCTGACCCCAGGGTGCAACTGCGCAAAGGAAAAAGAAGAGAGGCAGCTCATTAGGGCTGCTGCGGTGTTACCTCCTCAACGATTCCCCAGCAAGGAGCCCCTTACGGCATCATGTCCCTGGAGAGGAAGGATAATACAACCCCCTTCATAGTCATTGTATTTGCATCTTAATATCTCCTAACAATGCTCCTTCATGATAGAAATGATTGCACCCACTTACATGGATGAGGAAACTGAGGCTTGGAAGGTAAAATAAATTTCCTTAAGAACCTGCAAGGAGTTGGAAGGAAAGTTGAAACTCAATCTCAGGTTTCTTAATTCTCAGTCCAGGGCCCTATGCCTTCCTTACAGCTCTAAACCACCTGTCCATCCTCCCCACTTTGACACACATATGCTCATACATGCACACACACATGCTCACACATGCACATATTGTCCCAGATCCCAGGGGAGCTGATTCACCTGGACCAGTCAGGGAGTCAGGGCAACAGAGAGTCAGGACACCAGGTTCCCATCCCCTCTCAGCCAACCATTACCGTGTTGAGTGCTAGGTTTCCTCGGACGGCAGGCGGGGTAACACTATACAGCACAGCGGCCCCAGCCACAGCTCCCAGGAGCTGGGCGGCCATATAGCAGAAGGCACGGAGCAGGGACATCTGGGAGCCCACAAGGAAAGCAAAAGTGACTGCAGGATTGACGTGGGCTCCACTGATGTGGCCCACAGACTGTACCAGGGTAGCCAAGGCCAAGCCAAAGGCCATTGCCACCTGCAGCACATGCAGGGGTCCAGGAGCCCAACGCAGTGAGGACCCCAGCCCAAAGAAGACATAGAAGAGGGTGGCAAAGAACTCCGCAAATATGGCCCTCCAAAAGGAGGCTGACCGCAGTTCCCACATGGCAGGGGGGATGGGCACAGTGCCTGGGTCCTTGCTACCCCCCTGGCCTTATCTGGGTGGACAGTCCCCTTTATAGAGGACTCTTAATCCCTGGGAGGGGCAGGCTGAGGTAGCTGGCCCAGCCTCTTAACCCCTTCACAGCTGTGCAGGGCTAGGCCCCCTCCCATACATAGTAAAGATGCTGGATTTTCCTGCCTCTCTCAGCTGGGAGATGAGCGGAGAGAGCCCGGGCAGTGAGGGTGGGATTGGGGTCAGAGCAGAAAAGACTATGAGAAGGGGGGCGAAGAACAGTGGGACTGGAAGAGTCTGCCCTTCAATGTGTGTCAAAGTTGGAGTTCATAGTCCTGATTGACATCTACATTAGAATACTCTTCAACTCTCTTCGGAAAGTCCGTCAAGCTGAGCTCACTTCATGATATTTGGGGCTGATCTCATGGGGGCCTCAGGCTCCTCAGCCTGCCAGGGGCAAGGGTGGGGGTGGGGGTAAGCACTGGGGTTCAGCAGGGAAGTTGGATAACTAAAGAGAATTCTTTAGTTCCTAGGGATTAGAAGACTTTCTCTCATTGGCTAGTTTTGGGCTGGAATCTGTGGACCCTGCAGCTCTGGGACAGAATAGTTCTGCTGCGTCTGGCTTTCTCTGAGCCGGGGTTCCCTACCCCCAGTCCATGACAGCACCTCCGTTTTCAAACCCTAGGCCTGGCTTTTTAAACCACAGAGACTGACAGAGAGAAGACACTATCATCCCCGCATGAGCTGGGGGTGAGGTTGGAGGGATAGAAATGGGAAAGGGACTCGTAGTTAAACCTTAGAATCAGCTTGTATTTCATCTTTCCGAACTCACATGGTCACAGCAAGAAGTAGTGAAAGGAAGGAAACTGAGTCATGGCTATGAAGCAATGGGAAGGTCTAATGTCCTCCAAGACACCCATGATCAGCACACCCTAAACCTCGATCCCCAGGGAAAGGTATGGGTGTGCTGAGATCAGATCTGGGGAAACAACTGGTCAAGGAGAGGGAAAGGATAATATGGGGAAGGAAAGTTTGGGGAAAGAGGTTCAGTTGTGCTCGGGCTTAACTTGGGACCTAGGCATGGGGCCTGTGTGGTGATGGAGAAGGTAGAATGGGACATACTGATAGGTTCTACAATCTCCACGTTGTGGCAAGTCATACAGGCCACAGACTTTTTTCATGAAACACCAGAGAACAGAAATTCAAAGGTGAAGCTGCAAGAACGGTGTCCAGCATGGGTCCCGCCCAGTGCACCTATTGGGAAAGAGAAGGAACACAGATCAGGGCCTGGGCTCTCTCCTTGCAATACCCAGCTTGGGGATGGATGGAAAGAGAGTCATCGTGAAGGCAGAGGGTCCATCTAACCTATCCACTGACAGGAAGAGTTGCTGAAAACAGGTCAGAGAGCACCCAAAGGGTTTGGAACTCTCAATTACATAGAAGAGAAACAATCCACCAGAAGTCGTTGGAGTCTCCTATATGTTAGAAGCCCCATCAGTATCCTGACTCAGGCTTTGTAACCCTCAGTGCATCTCACCCAGTATTGCTCCTAGATCCCAGTCACCACTGCTGGACTCAGGAAGCATGCAGGGTTCATGCTGCCTCCAGAAAAGGTGCCCTGGACAGGAGAAAAAGAGAGGGTAGCACATCATGGTGTTAAGAACAGAGACTTTGGCAATAGATACTCTGGTGCAATTAGGTAAGGATACAGTTACAACTGCTGGTGGGAGTATAAACTGAGATAATAACTATTTTTTTTTTTTGAAACAGAGTTTTTTGCCCTGTCATCCATGCTGGAGTGCAGTGGTGTGATCACAGCTCATTGCAACTGAGTGCAGTGGTGCGATCACAGCTCACTGCATTTTTAACCTCCTAGGGTCAAGCAATCCTCCTACTACAGGTATATACCACCATGCCCAGCTAATTTTATTTTTTTAATTTTTTGTAGAGATGGGGTCTCACTGTGTTGCCTAAT